AGCCTTAGCAGGATACTTATTGACAGCATGGACTCAGAGAAGTTCATGTCAACCCTTCCTACCTGCACATCAAGACTAACCCAAACCAAAATAGTGTTCTCCTCTGCAGTAAGATGACAAAGTTCGTCCTTGTAATGACTATCTTTCATTTCCAGCAATTGAACTTCTTTGCCCATGAAAATCCTCAAGAGGTGTAGGTCTTCTGTATAAGGAAAAAATTGCACAGCAATTTATCCAGATACACTCAGAATATGAAAGCTCTATGGCTTTAAGTAAAAATGTGAAGAACCCAGCAAGAGGGAATAAATAGCCCTTATACTGTATCAGGTATATATTTTTTTTCTCCCCAGAAAAGGTACATTAAAAACCAAACCAAAAACAACGACAAAACCACACACACACACACAAAATTTTAAAAACAAACAAACAAACCCAGACAAAAAACCCCACAAAACCAACAACACAGAATGTCAGCAACATTTTCATAAAAGATGTTTAACACACTTGAACTGGATCTCTATTCAACCTTTTTGCCCATTTCAAATATTTCTTTTACTACCAGTGGACTACAAAGCTGCCATATAAATTGCTCTTTTACTTCATGGAACATGAAGCCTAGTAAAATCTTCCTGTTAAAGTTTTGCCTCCCAATTAAAAAGAGGGATTAGTGCTCTCAAGTGAAAACCAAGAAACATTTTCTTTGAGTTCCAGATCATGAGATTTGTTTTCTATCTCAAAGGCAGTAGATGCCAATAACCTTAATTCCTGTTGATAAGAACTTGAGAGCAACTTGCACTAAAGATATTCCCATTAGAGCATCTTACTTCACAGCTAAAATGAGAAGCACAGAAGGCCAGCATGAAAAGCTGTCTCTCCCGGGAAAAGGATTTGGTCATGGCCAATTGGGATGATAGGAGCAATCAATGTGCACAAGCTGTTTGTATGATTTTAATATTCATTCAAAGGAGTCAGGATCACCATCCCCTGTGTAGAGGCTGAATGCACTCAGTGTCTAAAATAAAACCAACAGGAGAAGGAGATCTCATTGCTTGTGCAGGAAACACTGTTCAGCCAACCAGTGAAAAAAAATAGCAATTCTCCTTAGACTTCAAAAAAAACTGTCAAAGCTTCCCATTTCACCCAAGTTCTTGCACATATAACAGTTCCACGTCAATAAAATGGAATCAGAATGTTTTTCTCTCTGTGTGTATACACATATATACATATGTGTATGCATATATATAAATATATATTTATAAATATATATTTTGTATTGTTATATATTTATTTATATATTATACATATATAAAGCCTTAAAAGTAAAAAGAAAAAGAAAAAACCTTTTCAATTCTACGCATGCTTTAAAACAGCCTGAACTACCTAAATACTATGTAACCTCTATCTAAGAACTCCAGGCCATACAATACTAAGAAATGTGTTTAAGTCTACTGTTCTAAGGAATAAAAATATATTTAGGACCTACAGCATGTGATGAGTTAAAAACAAACAAACAAACAAGAAACAACAGAAGAAAAAATCCTGAACAGCTGCTTTGTGTCTGTAAACAATCAGGCTCTTTGGACCCCTGTATGTGCTCCCATAGCTTGTGACAGCCTCAAGCTGCTTGCATTAAAGAGCTGTTTAGGGAGAACATTTCAAGAGACTGGGTATGGACAACAATGTGTTTTTCTCAACACATGAGCCAGGTCCCCTTGGGAAGATGTTGGCAAACTACGTCAAGAGCGAGTTTCTATGCAATTGGTGTGGTTTGGGCTAATTCTTACTGCCCACATTTACCCCAGTGCTAGCCCCACAAAGTGGGACCAGCTTCTGAGCTCAGGAGAAGAGGGACTGCATCAAGATGTGCACTGCTAAAACCAGGCTCACATTTGGATTTTTATTTTCTCTGGATGTGTGAGGTTTGCATGATGTTTCCCTCACAAACAGGAAGTTAAGCTAAGTGCAAGGCCACGTGCACTGGCAATGCATCCTGTACCAATGAGACCTTCTGCTCTCCAAAGCTGAACTACTGTAGGCAGGATGAAGCTTTTTAAGGCTAAATTGCTTTGTGGAAAGCCTCTGTCTGCCAGCCTCTGCCCACTGCTGCAGTGAGACGCTGGCAGGCTGTGCAGACGTGCTGGGCCCTTAAGCGGCAGGAGCCAGAGTTTTTTGTGGGGACATGGGGCCAGGAAGCTCGTTCAGGCTTGGCATCAAGCCACATTACAATGGCATCTGACAGAATATTGCAGTGATTTTGCTACCTCCATCAGCCTTCTCTACAAACACCCACTGTGCTTTTGCTGAGGTGCAGAAACTCTTCTGATTTTCTTGTTTTCTGCACTGGGGTTCAGTACAACACACAAGCATATGGTGCAATTTTACCCTATAACACTCCATCCATGGCTAGTTTGTTTTTAGGAGTGCAGAAGGTGATGTGCCTCTTGTTACAAAACTGCTTAATGCATCTCATCTGCCTGACACGAGATGAGGCCTGGGCAATTGGGATTACTGCTAATGATGCAGTTACCACCAACACACATATTTCTGTCTTTGCCTTTCCTGGCTTATTCATTTTGCTCATTCCTGAACCTAAAGTGCAGCATTTCTAATTCTATATGGTTATATGTAGGATATATATAAGGATGCAACTGGGCTGTGACGTCTGCATATAATGAGGAAATACTGGTATTTTACCACAGAATTGTACTACCATGAGTACTGGGATGATTTGGCCCTTTGCCTTTTCACCTCTGCAATACAGACAGATCACATTTTTAAGTGAACAGCAATATTTTATAAAAATTACTCTTCTACTCTATTATTTCTTTTACATTCTGAAATTCTTTACCTTTTCCTGGCCATATTGGCTGTGAGAACCAGTATCATCTACTGTGTCACTTCTGGGTGAACCAGAACAGCAAGCCAGCTGCATTTGCCAAGTAAAACCATACCTATCCAGCCAAAAAACCTTCTAGATCTGCATCTTACCATTAAAGCTGGATAACAAGACAGTAGTTATCTATTACAGTAGGTGACAAATATTTGCATCCTAACTATGTCTGAAATTGTAGATCTTTGCATTCAAAAATTCTGATCTTTCAAAACAATCATAAGTGCTGCCAACAGATTCAGATGGTAAAAGCATTTTCACGAGAGTAAACTTACTGATCATATTGATCAAAGCAAGCATCTCTGTACTCGAATTTTGGAGTTGTTGCTTCTGCATTTGAAAATGCTAAAGAAAAAACTGCATTGCGTGTATCAGAATTTTCAATAGCAGCACCAAAACCTGTTTCTTGTGATTTCTCAGCAAGTCTTAGAGATAGTTGTGCAAGCTTACAGCTCTTCCAGGGAGGGGAGAAGGCATTTAAGACTGGCTTTCTGAAACACTGAAAGGGATGGCAAGCCAGAAGGCAGACAGGAGGAGCAATTCAGAATGCCTATTTGTATGCACTGCAAACACATTTATGTAGTTTTCCTCGTGCCAGTTGTCTTAAGAGACAGCTCGAGTGAAGTGAAGCCATCTGTGCCAGGCCTGGCCAGGGCATCCCAGCCAGAGTTCTGTGCCCAGATGTAAAACATAAGACATCATCTATGGAAAGTCAGTTTGCAAACAATTCCTAAGGGAGCTCCCTAATGCCCTGGTGAGCAATGCAAACAAACTACACAAACCTACAGACCCCACTGTGTGCAGACCTATAAAGTAGATGCCAAATCTGGATTTTTCCTAAAGATATCTGCTCTAATTCTTAGCCACAGGGCAACTACTTCACACCAGATGCAACAATTCAAGGAACAACTGCTAGGGAAGTGGATAAAAAAATTTTAAAGGTCCATATACAAGTTAGTTACTGGTATCACGAGAATCAGATGAGAAAGATCCTTTACAAGAAAAGTCCCCAACCAGCTGACATATAACAATAATATGAAGTCAATGAACACCAGAGATTAAACTGCAGAGTCAAGTTGTGCCAGGGAACTGAGAAGTGGCTGATGCAGAAAGAGTAACCAGCGGCAATTAGTACAGCAACCTACACAAGATTCTGCCCTGATATCTATTGGTATCTGGTATTTAGACACATGGAGATGCTGCAGAGCCACAGTGTGGTCTGATACAAGGCCCTGAAGCAATTCTATGCATGAGATAAAACTCCTGAACTATGAATAGATTTTTTTTTTCCTTTACTTATCCAAAAATTAAAGAACAGTCTAATTCATCACCAGCCTTTACAGCAAGAAAAAATTTACTTGTGATGGAATGAGAAGCCTCTGCTCACTGTATATAAACACATACATTGAAAACAGTATTTCTAATACTGCTGTACTAAAAATAAAGCTGACCCGTTGATAAAGCTCACCTCACATCATAAGACTTCATAGAGTATTGACAGAGTATTGACCCAAAACTTACTTTTGGGTAAAGGTGGTCCCACCCGATGTCCCTCCAAAGCAGTCACCTTTCATTCTCAGACCTTTTTAGCTTACTTACTAAGTGATCAGCTGCTTGCTTCTGTGGTTCACATAAGCTCCATGTAGCCTAATCAAGCCACGTCCCTCAGGATATTGTTGCAGTAAACCCAGAAGTACATTTTTAACCTAAAAAGCTCCAGCTGAGACTGCCTTTCCACCAATTTTTGATGCCCAGGTAGACAAAGATAAAGGCTGAGCAAGGGAAACTAGTGCAAGTGATCAGTAAGGACAGCTGGGGAGACTGAAACACAAGGAGAACAGCTGAAACTAGCTGAATACGTCTTTCTACTTACATTAGTGTAACAACAACTTGGAAAAAAAAGTGCAGTGTAATATTCTCTCAGCCTCTAGAAGAGAGTAAAAAAGTATTAGATGGTTTTCTGACAAGATGAAGTATAAACAGCCTGAGGAATTTGTGTTGGCTTATCAATATATCTGCCAAAGGAAAGCAATGCTGCTGAGCCTGGAATAGTTCAATAGCAGTTCAGTCTATTGATCTAGCTAACAATTTTGCTTCTGTTTGCAGGTTTTGCAGGACTGTGTTCTCAGTGAGGTCACCCCAGTCCAGGGGAGTTTCCATTACACACTAGAGAGTTTTTTAGGGGTGAGCAACATGCAGATACAGTGCAGATCTCGTATCTCCAGTTATTCAGGTAAGGGCTACCAGGTATATGTTGTTTTCTGTGGAAGGTAATTAGATTATTCTTAGTGCTTGAAACATGGAGGAGTTCACACAACAAAAACTATTTCAGGTTTCTCTGAACGAAGGAGATGAGCCACAACACAGGGACGCAGGAAGGAAAGTATGGTAACTCCCCAGCATACTTCATTCACAGCAGTGGGGTATCAGGTATCAAGAACTGGCAGAATAAACCTAGAGCTTCAACTCATGGAAGTCTTCAAGAAGCTTTTTGCAATCTACCCATGAGCTCTTTGTTCTTCCTCATACAAGTGGGCAGATATACATACCTTCTGCACATGTGATGGGCTACAGTATTTGGTTTCCTGTAAGTAATAAAAATAATAAAACTTCTACTTTTGCTTTCAAATGCTTATTTAAAAATGCAGATATATGAACTGGTGAAAAGAGTCTCTGCACCATTAGACGCTACTGCTTCTTTATCTTCAAGGTCCTTTGATGTTACATTGTTATGGATGAGGAGTTAAAGAATGTTAATTACTGCTGATACATAGCAGCAACTGCTGCTTCTTGAATTCAAATAAACCCTTTGATATCAGTGTATGAATATTATAGGAGACACTGTCCCACTGATGTGACTAAAAAGACTGGCAAAAGAGGAAACCATGTGTAGATCAGCAGGCAAGGAGGACAAATGTCTACAGAGAAAGCTAGAGAAAGCTACCATAACTCTTGTCAACTCTGTCCCTTTTGATCTAGGTCATTTAGGAAAGGCAGAGTCACAACATCACATCCTCAGCAAAAGGGAAGAGTGCGAATTCTTTGGGGACAAAACAACTGAGGAAGGCATCTGGCACACAGGAATAACTCCATTATGGCAGGCTGCTCAGAAGCAAACAGAACTTCAAATGAAAGCAAAAATTTTGGGAGCTATTTATACAACAGGTTTCAACAGTGACTGGGAAAGAAGTTCTTATCTGTATTGACCTGGGAGGAAGGCAGGGCAGAAGAATTTGACCAAGACACACTATCTCTCTATTCTCAGAGGAAAGGGAACTAAGGACAATGTCCCATATGTTAAATATTAAGAGGCTGAATTCCCTATTACAAGGATCAAGCAACCAGTTTCCAATTGATAACTGTTTTAACCACTACATCCACAATGTTTGCCTTTCCTGCCAGCTCTACTGAGGTATATTTTCATTTTAACAATGTGTCCAAGTGCCTATAGGTACTGAATCAGGATCCCTGTTCTTCTGGCCCACATACTTGGGGAAATCTGGTGTGCTGCCCACTCACCAGAAGAAAAGTCCTCACCACACCTCAGACCACTTATGACCCATAGCTCAAGTCCTGCTGAACACCCCAAGTGCACAGCCAGAGCTTCAAGCTACAGCCACCTCTGGAGAAAGGGCAGAGACCTCCTCTCCAGCTGCCTCAGCAGAGACCACAGGGGTGTGGCAGCACAACCATCAGCTCAAGGGCCTGCTACTGATTTAGCAGTCCCATGTTCTTCCAAATCCAGCTTTACCTTACACTACTCAAGCACCCAGTACTCTTTTTTCTAATCACTCACTTGCTTTACTGTCAGCCCAAATCCCCATTATTTTTGTGTTCTTCCAAGAGCAGCCCCTGAGTTTCCACCAACACTCAGCTGCCAACTACCCATAATACCTGTATGATCTCAATATACACAACCAGTCTCACAAACCCATTTTTAAAGCCACCCACCTCCCAGTGACTAAGTACTCCATCCACATATAGCTTTCCTGTCAGATGCCTTGCAACTCACCCACTTCTTTGCAGGAGAAGTCAGTCAGGGGCTGTTTTTCTTGTACACTTCAAAGGGTCTGATGTCTCCCATCCCTGCCCTATATGTACAATATTTTAATCACGATTCATGGATGAAAATCCAAATTTTTATTATAAATTCACTTACATATAAGAGATTTTACTTCATAAACCCAAGCAGAACAATCTGAATAGTATTTGACAGTAATTTCTGGTCTTACCTAGCTAAAAAAAAAAAAAAAAAAATCATCTTTTTTACTGTGGGTGGATGTGGATGTGTGTTGAAGTGGTATTTTCCCAAAGTAATCTTAACAAGTATAGCATTACAGCTATTTATAAAATTAAATCCTATGGCTGACAGTTTTTCTGTAAGCTCAATGCTTCCTATGATTAAGATCACTTTGCTGGAAGTCAGAAGTTCTATACTAACACAGTCACGGATGGAAACTGAAGTACAGCACTAAAAAGTATTGATATTCACCACTACTAGCTCGGATTAAAACAGCTAACAAGCTTTCCCAGAGGTGAACAGGTTTGTTCTCACAAAGGTGGACAGGTTATCAACAGCAAGAGTGAATAAAAAACAAAACTGCATGTAATTCAAGATACAGTAGCAGGAATCCCCAGTCCCAGAGACAAAAATAATAATAATATGCCCAGGCTGAAATTTTCTACATAAACCCATGACAACATTTAATACAAGCTATGCTTCTTCTAACAAAACATGTTGAAATTATGATTATGGAAATTCAGGTATAATTTTAATTGTTACTATCATGTTACCATCATAAAATGAGGCCATATTCATGGGAAACTCCAAACCTTAACATTCCCTTCTTGGTCAGCAGGACATGGTAATGCTCTTCTCTACTAAAAATTCATGAAATTATTTAAGCTTGGGTAAAGATCTATATCTATTCAGAGGCTTTTAGTTTACTTGTTAACTAGCATTATTTATTGATTTATTTACAGCTGGATATGGGATGCAGGGGAACACTTTTCCCTATTATTTGTCAGCATCTAGTTTTGGCCAGATATAAATCTTCTATTGCAAAGCTCCATATCTATCAGCAGTGCAGCCCTGTCCTACATGCTACCCACAATCCTGTATTTTTCTGAGTCTGGGTGTCTAGTGGCTGTCATTCATTAATTAAGAAGGGCAGAGGACAAAGCTGATGATGATACTGACACCAAAAAAACGTGAAAGATTCTGTGACTTCCAACAAAAGGAAAAAAAAATTACATATAAGTGAAGATCCATGAAAACAGATATGTCCTTAGATAAAACAATCTAAAAAAAACCCATTCACCTAAAAATACCTTTAGTATCTCCAATGCTTAGAGCATTTGCTATAGTATATATCTACATGCACAAAGGAATGACTGAGATTCTTAGACAGCTTTACTGTTTTACTTGATATAAAATCGGTAAGATAGCGAACAACAAATCTTTGTGTTTAGTCATCTGTGATCAGAAGTTGTTCCTAGTACTCTACAGGTGACTGTTTTCATTAGCACATAATTAATATCCCTTCTGAATATGCAAATCAGTGACTTCATAGACACCTCTCTTGCAAAATCACAATCAGTATATTCTAAAGTGGGAGACTAGAAACATCTATTCTGTCATTTAACCAGCAATTAGCCTGATTTTAAAATACAGGAAATAATCTCCCACAGAATTGAATAGAAAGTGCAAGTTATCAGCATTCAGGAGATCCAAGTTGTTTCTGTTTAGCAACAGAAATTAATTTGAAAATGTTTAACCTGCTGAGCCCAAACCTTAAGTAAATGACTTGTGACTTGAACAACATCTTCCATAACATAATTATGAACATTCACTGGTAACAGAGCACTTAACAAGGCACCAGGGGGCTTATATGTAGCCGACAATAGGGAAATTTCAATTATTAAGTTGTAAGTTCACAGAACTTACAGCAATAAGCTTCTGGACACGAAGTCCAGCCAAAAAAAAAGGCAAGAGCAAGGAAAAGATTTGCTGCAAGGGAAGGTACGTGAAGAGATATTTTATTCATAAATGGATCATTATTTTAAAGTCAGGACATCTCTACTCCATCCTCTGAGCTCTTCTCTTTTAGACTTCACTATAACCAAGCCTTCATATCACATTCTTTTCTTTACAAAAAGGCAGCAGCCACAGTAATACCAGCACTAATAAAGCAAATTTACAGCAGAACGTGAACTGCTGGACTTTGTGGTTTGCAGAGCAAAAATATCAAAGGAAGAAATGTACCTGACAATGAATACTGCTGCTACTGATTAACAGATAGACAATCGCAGCCTCCTCTCAGGAGATCAGCAGACTTCCACAAAGGCTTTCAGAAAGTTGTAAAACACACCTCAAGGCATACAGCAAAAATCAAACTTGTGTCTATCCCCTCAAACACTTCAGTCTCTGCTGAAGTCCACACCCACCAATGCAATCCATCACTGATTCTCAATACTCCCATAAATACTGTATATTGAAATTCTGCTGTAACTGGAGGAGGTAATGAACCTGGCCTTAGATTTCCCACAGAAAGCCTAAAAACCTTAACTCAAACGTTTGAAGTTTCAGGATATAAGGTATTTCTAAGGGTATATGGAAAAATCTGTAACAGGCAAGATTGTTATTGTTTATTCTCATATGCAATGTGAACAGAAATCAATAATTACATAGTACACAAAAATGCCAGTCATGGAAAATTTAACTTGGCAACCACAAAACGCAACTGTACATTCAGGACAAATCCTATCAGACCCAGCACCCAGCAGTGTCATGTTGAATGCCCTTGTTCTCACTGACACAGTTCTTCAGGGGTCCTTAGCGAAACACAGAAACAATCCTTTGATTGCTTTCTCTCCTTCCAGCCTAACAAGAAGTTAGAAGAAGTGTTGCCTACACAGAAATACAATACAATACAGGACAAGTATGCATTGCTCAACTTCTTTACTTCAGTTTTAACCATGCACCTCCTCTTTTTATTTGTTAAATAGTGCTCCCAAAGTTCTTTAACTAATACTCACAAAAAGTTTTGAAGATGAACATTAGCAGATAGGGATGACTATTGCTATTATCAAAGAACAAAGCGGAGGTCATCAAGTGTCGAGCAGATTTGTTCTGCATGAAAAAAAGCTTTCCAAATTCTTTCCCATCTCTCTAAAAATTCTCCCATATCACAGAAAGATATTGCAAGAAGGACGAGCTCTTCAAATGCTATTTACTGATACCAAAACATAATAACAAATATGGTTGCGGGGAAGAAAATGGTTTAAAAAGTTATTCTTCTATTTAAGTCTAGTACAAAACTTCTATTGAAAATGTACATTTTGAAAATACTGATGGGTAGAAACACATCAATCTTATATTGATTTGATATTGACTGAGGTTTGTATTTGGTTCTACCAGTCTGTTGATTCTGATCACAGGTGACATGCATGCATATCTCTGCCTCTATAATAAAACTGAAACAGATTTGCAGTAGTTGTCACTTTACTACAACATTAAAAAAAAAAAAAAAAAAAAAAGATAAAGCAGCACATCTGTTGAGAAAATATACAGGAAAATGTTCATGCTGCTGCAAAGACCCAGACCATTCAAGTGCAGGATGATTTCTCACTGCAGCAAGACCACATGGGTGGGCATGCAAAGAACATCCTAATTTAAGCTGATCTGCAGGCAGGCAGCTCCTCTCCAACAGCAAGGACTGAAGATTTATCACAATTCCCTGTCTGTTCTTTAAACAGAGAGTGAAATGGTACAGAAACCTCCAAATGCATCTCCTAGCAATGGCAGCTAATTACCATTCAGGCTCCAGCTCCTATCCCAGCTGCTCAAGGATAATTACTCCTAATGAAAGTGGTGGTGCAGGTTTCTTGGCTCTGCTAAGTTGTCTTAGAATAACAGACGGCCACAGACATTTGGCATTCAGTACACCTTGCCACAGAGGAACACTATTGATCCACATGCCATGGCATCACATTCAGACTGAGAAATTCAGTTGTGAAAAACATATGATACACTCAAAAGCAGAGGAAAACATCACTCCCCAAGACCAGACAGCTCCTCTGTGCCAAGAATGTCTGAAATGCAGCCTGCCCACAGGACGGCACAGCTCCTTAACACAAAGCCATCTGAGGTGACAGACAAGTAATGCTCTTGTTTACAGAGCAGTAAGGACAGATGAGGGTGCTAACAGATACAGAAAGCTCAGGTGTTGTTGGGTCAGACCCTGGTTTCTTTGGCCACTCTGGCCATTTACTGTTATACTGTACAAACCACGTCTCACCACGGAAAAAACATGTTTTCACCAACAGGTTTATTTTCATCACTTTTCATCAGCGGGTTTATTCCTGCTGTAATTTCCCTTCAGCTCTAAATTTGCTCTTTCGGCAA